TTTGTCCGCATCAACCAAAAGTTCGTCTTCCCCATCTCTTGAGTTACTCCCGGCATGCTTCCTCGGGTTACTCTTGACTGCCACATCCCTCGGTCGACCAGGTCCTGGTTAACATATTGGATATGGTTTCTACAAGCCTTTCCCACTGCGGGCACCGGTCAGATAGATCAATCACTTACGGCGTACTAAATATATTACAAGATCCGGCTGACCGTTGAAAGAGCAGTGGCAGTGAGAAAGATTAAGTTTGTTGATGACGACGAGTTCCCATCGTATCTGCTACAATGTCTCACTTTTCACCTACCGAACAGGCAGTGGGCGAGGCCGATCTCCGAGACGCGGATTACTAGAGGTCACACAGCTGGGGTACACATGCAGATGCGGATGCAGCTGCAGGAACCTAGTCGCCTATACTACTGACTCGATGGTACGATGCTAGCCATTAGACTGCCGCATTCAACTTCAATTGAAGTCTGTGCTGACTTCGGCTACACCGGACGGTCCGCAAGTTCTGTGGTGGATTTTGTTGGCAACAGCGGGAGCAATATATTATCAGTTTGGTACTAGCCTTGGCAACGTGCCAGCTGTCCGACCATTGGCATTTGATTTCGCAAGGAAGCGACCTCATAGCGACCATCCCAAAACCAGAGTACTAGAGGTGCTCCTAATTCAATCTCCTGTGAAACGTTTAGGCACACCCCACCGCGGCCTGTTAGTGACAAACCAGAGTTTGCCACCAGGGCTGTGAACCCTGGAGAGCTCCCCATGTGTGGCCCGGCTCTGGAATAGGGCCCTTTTTTAGCGCGTGCGGAGTCCAGCCCCGACGGTTTCCCCGCGATGGATCGCTTCTGCTCTGCCCGGCCTGTTTTGCGCTCTGCCACTCAGCTCCCTTCCTCCTCCATGGAAAAGTCCTCTCCTCTGCTCGACGGGTTTCTATCCGCATTGCGTCTTGTCAACGGCGCATCCCAGAAGGCTTAGCTGTCGTCGTGGGTACGTATCTCGAGCCAGTTACTCATCAACAGCTGCCTCGGTCTCTTTCCCCGCTTGTATTTGCCTCGTAAGGACTAAGGACCGGCCGGTTCTTTCGCTCCTTTTGTCTTGGCCGGTTGCTGACTTCTCAACCCCAATTTTCCAGACTGCGATTCTTTTGCATACCCTCATATACCTCTGGAATCGCCAATGTCGGCCTGAAATGGATTCTGCCCAGTCGGGGGACGCCCAGGCATCCAGTGTTCCAGCAGCCACCGAAGAACCAACCGGCGGAGCCTCAACAAAACGTCGCTGGAGAAGGAATCGGATAGCTTGTGACTCCTGCCATTCGCGGCGCGTGCGGTGCGATCGAGCTTTTCCCTGCTCGCGCTGCCTTCGCAGTGAAATCCGATGCGAGTTCACTCGCGAACGACGAAAGAGAGGACGCATTGCGCGGTCCCGACTGGTAGAGACAAATGCTGCCACTGAAAAGCCGACCAAACCTGTGGAGTCTCAAGCCTCAGCACCGGCACCTGCGGAAGCAGGATCTGGTCCGGTTCCAAATGGCTCTCCCTCTTCAACATTTCACCATAGATCGCCAGCGACAAATGATGGGACAGTGTCAGCCCCGAGTATCGACGAGCGGCGCTCTCAGGCGGATGTATCACTTCCTCCCAGGAAGTCAGGGCATACAGTTAATGCGACAGAGGAATGGCTCGCAGGCACGCATGTCTCTCCAGGTTCCTATGAGCCCTTGGCAGGCATCGGCCCTGGGGAAGGCCCTTTCCCTCGAATCTTCGATATCTGGAATGGGGTTGACTTGGCCGGTTACAGTGACCCAGCATCTCAAGGTTCCAAGATAACAGGCCTTGGACAGACACCAGCACCGTCTGCAACGATCCTAAAATATCCAGTACTCCAGCCAGTAATGCCATATTTGGAGTCGAGCTTGCCTCGAAAGCTTGTATACGATCTTCTCGACCTGTACTTCACAAGCGCATTCTCCACGCATATGCATCCCGTGTGTCATCACATTCATTGCTATGTTCTACGAAAGGCGTCATTTCTGAGCCGGGAAGCTCCTCGGCCTAGCAGCCCTGCACTTCTGGCCAGCATGCTTTGGGTGGCAGCGTTAGATGACCGTGCATTTGCTTTGCCGATATCTCCTCCCCAGAGAAAGAAGATATGTCAATTCCTGTGTGCTCTAACGTTACGGCTTTTGCGACCGTTGGTTCACGTGTCATTCAAAGAGCAAGAAGGCGCCGCGGCGAGCGACCCACTTCATGCTGCGGTCGGTCAGGACTGTCCCCCTACAACGGTGCACCACCCATTTGAAGCCGGCGGTGATGATCGGGGGCTGGTCGGCCCTGCAGGATCATTGGACGATGTCATCACATACATCCACGTGGCATCCATTATCTCTTCAAGCGAACAAAAGGCCGCCAGCATGCGATGGTTCGTTTTATTCAAGTAACCCGAAGCGAGCAAGGAAGCTAACCAATCTTAGGTGGCATGCCGCCTTTACTCTGGCACGGGAACTGAAGCTCAATCAGGAGATCGAGGTGATGCCTAGTGAGGAGAATCACCCAGAGGGCTCGAGCCCATCATTTGATTATTCACTTGCGGGATGGAGTGGCGTTGACACGGGCCCCTTTTTCGATTATTCAAACCCTGCTCGGCCAAGCTTGAATTGCGTATGCGACCGTGGCCACGAATTGCGTGGCGCTATTACCGAAGAGCACCGTGAAGAGCGTCGTCGGACATGGTGGCTTCTCTACATCATGGACCGTCACCTCGCTCTCTGCTACAATCGCCCCCTTGCTCTACTCGACGCTGAAAGCGAGGATCTTTTATTGCCGCTGGACGAAGGGTCATGGCAGTCTGGGAACATCCACAGCAATAGTCCCAAACCGGATGGACCACAGTGCCCGCTGTCAGGCGAGAAGAACAAACGCCGTGTTTTCCCCAATTTTATTTGCCATGATCACTCTATCTTCGGCTTCTTCCTGCCTCTCATGACCATTACTGGCGAACTAATCGACTTGAACCAAGCTCGTAACCATCCGATGCTTGGAGCACGCTTGAATGGAAAGGACGCCTGGGATGCGCACGTCGGTGAAGTGCTGCGCCAGCTTGAGCTCTACAAGGCTAGTCTCACAACGTTTGCTGCCACTGCGTCGGATCCAGGTGCGCCCTTATCCAGTGCCTTTCCCCCTAAACCCGATCAACAACCAGTCGAACCCTCACTTGCCCAGGCTTATTCATGGCATACTCAGACGGTCATTTCGTATGCATCTTACCTCGTGCATGTGCTACATATTCTTCTTGTCGGGAAATGGGATCCTGTGTCGTTGATCGAAGATAAGGACTTCTGGACTTCATCGCCCGCGTTCGCCTCGACCATCTCCCACGCCCTTGATGCGGCAGACTCGGTGGACCATATCCTACGTTACGATCCCGACATCAGTTTTATGCCGTATTTCTTCGGCATTCAATTACTTCAAGGCAGCTTTCTTCTCTTGCTGATTGTGGAGCGGCTGCAGAAAGAAGCCGGGGAGGGTATTTTAAATGCGTGCGAGGTGATGATCCGAGCGACCGAGTCCTGTGTGGTGACGTTGAACACTGAATACCAACGAAATTTCCGACAGGTCATGCGGAGCGCCGTTGCGCAGGCGCGTGGGCGCCCTGTCAATCACAGCGAGATCCGGCATCGTCGCAAGGCCGTCTTAGCACTCTACCGGTGGACCCGGAAGGGCACTGGGTTGGCTCTTTAGAATTAGAGTTTCTCACAGCGCCGATGCCCATTTCAGCGCACGGTTGCATCGGCTCCGCATCCGCAGGCCATCGGCTGGAGAGAGCTTAAATCATCTCCCGCCAGGGCATGCTCGGTTCTAGGCCAGTCGCAGAGACTGGAATATGCAGGCACAGTATCCCCTCCCTCTCGGTTGATTACCTTGCCTGAAATGGGCTCGCTCCAGATCGCCTCTTTGGCTAACTTCCCCGTGCCTGCATCTGCCGGACCTTACCCCGGCATTGGTCATTGATCACAGCGGCTGTTTCTATTATTCCGAAGTACCTCGTAGTATTTATTATCCATCTTTCTTGGATACTGCACTTCGATGTTACCCTGTACATATACGAGCATTTATGCTGCTTTTGGTGTCTTGTGGTTTGTTTGTTCTGGCTCGTTGGTTTTAAACTATTAAGCGGTTTTTCTTTTTCTGGACACTACTTCCCGAACGTCATGTCCCTTTCTCTCAACATAGCAAACATCGCTTCAGGTATAAACCCGGTCGCTAATGTCGAGCATCGCATGATTCTGCACTTGCTGCAAGGACCAGGGTTGTTGGCGGCCCCTTCCTCTTACCCCAGATTTAACGAACGGGCCGTGCTCACTCGGTCCGAACCTGGGCCTCTCGGTTAAATTCCAAAAAACCGAAGCCGTTGCGGGGAGAAAAACCATTGCATTGGGAATCGAACCAACAGGCGCTCAGCTTTGACAGCCTTTAATTCCCGTAGTTCGGCAGGCCGGGGAGGGTGCTCGGTTAATTGCCAGTCCAGAATATGGGGTATGCAAGGTTCAGCGACACCACATGGCCCCGTGAAGATCAGATGGTTCCTGGTCCGTCAAATCATTGAGCTTCCCCTTGAGTGTTCTAATGTATCCAAGCTCCACCAATGTCCGATTGCTCCAGTTTGTATTTTACCGACCCCATTGCGGCCGTGGTCGCCCACTTCCTCAAGCAACAGTGACAATGACGAACCCAATTTCAAGATTCATTTAGCACGCCCCTCTGCTGCATTGACCTGCGGAGTATGTCTTATAAGCATCAATCGCCGTCGTGCGCGGCTTCTCGACGAGGCCTTCGTTGCGCATGCCATAGTTCAATCAACCGTACAAAGTCTCCAGAGGCAGCACTCCTCATCATTGAATGTTATGCTGTAGTGCTTTCTACGATCTATGCAAATCAGTATAACATTACAATCTCCATCGCTCGACTAGCTGAATCACCACGCAAGACCTCGCCACAATGCTGCATACGAGCCATCCTCAAGAATTCGAGAAATGGACTTCCATGGGCCCGTCCGACACTCAGATGCTCGGCCTGGAGTCTAACTTCACGGATGAGGAGTTATACGGAAGCCATCTGAGTCTCAACGGATTTGATCTGTCATCTTCACAATTACTGAGCCCGGAGCTTTGCTCAGAATTTGACTTAGCGACAGGCGAAACGGGCTCGGGGCTCTACCATCCCTCGCAACCGATGGGTGTTGCTAATTCTCTGAATGTGCCTCAATTGGCGGACAAAATATCTTCAATGTATGTCCTCCAGTGTGCGGCATGATCATGGCATGATCAAAGGATTCTAGGACCTTCCAGCTGACAATGGCTGCTGCACTAGATTCGGAGAATCCTCGTTCAACACCGCCCCCGATACCAAGCCCACCAACTCCGATTTTTCTCTAGACGATTTGCTCCGCTCGGCATCCCAACTAGCAACTGAACGCGCGCTCTACATGAATATTCCTGCAAGTACACCTTCTCCGCGAGCATCACAGGACAGCCCTAGCTCGCGATTGCACTTCGTCCAGTCGCCCCTTCTCGATGACCCCTGCAGCTCACCGGGAAAGAGCCAACAGTCATACAGTGGCAGTGAGGGGGAATGGGACCGGGAATACAATCAAGGCGAACCGGTCCAATTCTATGGACTACCCGATATTGGCTTCCCCGACCCAGTCTCACTGCATCACGCGCTCGACGATGGACTGGTTCAACCTTCGTTTGGCGACCCACTGCCCACTATCAGCAACGCAGAAGGAAATAGCAAAAGCCAGTCCAGGGAAATTAGCTTCACCCTGGACTTGGAGGAAAACGGGCTTACCCCGCTGGAAATGCCGGATGGAAGTACCCGTTTCACAGCCAACTGGCTCCCCGTGGACCCCGAAGGTGGATTCACCATCCGAGCACCACCCACCGCGCGCAAGCCTGAGCCCAACAGCAATAGCAACCACCAGATGACGCAGGACACCGGAGACTATCTCTTCGCACGGAATGCATTCATCTCTATCCCGACGGTTACCCGTCTATCCTCCACAGCAGTATGAGCCGAATGACACAGAACACAGTCGACTACGCACCTGCGGAGCACCGCAGCATCTGCACTGCACCCAGCCACTAGATTGCGGGCTACCACCGACCGGGCCGCCCGATTCGTCCACCCGACCATTGCGCCGGTCGCAGCGGCGCCGGAGAAATTCACGGACGTTGCGCCAATCATTGCCCCAGTTCCAAGCAAAACAATCTCCCAGAGGGGACGCGATGCCCCTTTCGTGTGCAGCCCAGCAATCAATAAACCCACCCTCCTCCCTCTCTCCCTGATTCCAGTCACTGAGTCCTGCGTGCTGATGCTCTGCGTAACCTTGAGAAAGGTGCTCGTTGGCTGATGCGGTGTCCATGCACACTCACACGCACACTCTTTAGCTCGAAGAGAAAACAAATTGCCAACGGGCCTTCCTTTTCTCTGGGCCTGACTGGGCTTGAAATCAACCAATCACACCACCCCATCCCACAAAAGTCTCAAGAAGAGCCAAGATCCGTGCTACATGCACCGTCATGTGAGCGAGAGAAAAAAATGCAATTCCAGACCCAGACCACACCGCGTCCCTTCCCCCGACATGTGATCTGTTTCGTTTGCCTTATCGAATGATGACTATAGTCCGCTCAGACCCCCCTCTTTCCCTATGTAAGCTGGCCCACATAGACAGGACAATAATGTGGGCTGCGCTGCGCTGTCTGTTGGCCTTCTTCGTTCTACATTCTTCTCCTGCATGGTGGACAGGTCTTCTCCGTTTTTAGACCCTACACTTTACAGAGTTATGAGAAGTTTCTTTCCCGTTATTGGGGGAGAGGATGGACTGCTTTGGGGACCGGTGAAACGAACTACATGAATGTATTCAAAAGTATTAGCGTACTAGGAAAACTACTAGTAGATTAGTATGACGTGATGTGAAAATAGTATATTAATGATGATGATGATGATATCTCTTGAGACGCTCTGTCCGATGAAGTAATTTTGCATTGGTTTGAATTGGGGATTTTTTATTTTTTATTTATTTATTTTTCTGATTTTTTTTTTTTTTTTTTTTTTTTTTTTTTT